ATGATGTAGAACATAAAACAGAATATTAGGGCCACTTTCTGTCAGTCCTAGGAAGGAAGCAAAGGCCAACCACTTCTGAGTAACCTTGCCAATAAAACTGCAGGGACTTGTCCAGGCAGCCATCAGGCACCCCTTGAAGGCACCCCTTTTTCCCCAAAAAGATAACCAGCTACTTCTCTTTTTATCATGAGTGTCTGTCTGTAAGCATCCAGAACTCTTGTAAATATGGAACTGTGAAAGACGAATAAATGGGCCAGAACCATCAGCTGGATGCAAGCCACGTTCCTCAGTGGCAAATTAGATGCAGGGTCTCCTTTTTGCAAAGCAAATGCTGCAGAAATATCTCGGTCCCCGTCTTCTTTTCTGAGGAATGTGGTTTGTTTTTTTTGTTTGTTCGTTTTTGCAGCACCTTCTTACGATTCTCTATTTTAAGTCAGCATTTTTTTTTAGAAGCAGAGATGGAGGAAGCCCAGAATATGCTGCATTGATATGCATACAAATGAAATCCCAGGGCTGCATGGGTGGAGAAAATACTGTATGTGCTTAGAGGCAGCAGTTCTCTGATTTCTGGGGATCTGCTGGAAAGGCTCAGTGGTGTTTGCTGGTTGCACGGCCCAAAAGCAAGCCAGATCTTTCCATAGTCCACAGGGCTGGGAAAGCCCTGGTTATCTAATCCGTGCCCTCTGGGTGCAGTGGTTGAAAAGGCTGCTTTCTCCCAGTAGTAGCAGAGGGACTCTACTGCTACTACTTAGAATCCTCTGGAAGACAGCGTAGTTTACCAATGCTGCAACATCCTCAAAGCTGAGAGCTGATAATCTTTCAGGCCTCAGCAAATAAAATCTAACTTCTAAAAGTCTCCCTTTGAAGAAGATGCCTTTCAAATCAGCTGCAATAGGTTCCCCGTAGGGATGGAGACAAGTGAAGGAACCTGGTAAGATGCCCTCCAGGTTCTACCCTCTAGGACAGGCCAAGTCATGAAGCAAGAGGGCAAGGGATGATGGGAATGCTCCTTTGTTGTTGGAGGGTATGATAACAGAATTCTAGGCCAATCCGCTTGGTTTGTCACCGGCTTGTTGCCTGCGCGTGTGCAGTGCGCGCCAAATACAACCTGCTCATGAGTGCGTGCACGGTGCATGCCAAACACACGCTGCCCGTGCATGCATGGTGCGCACCAAACACGCTTCGCGTCAAAAAAGGAGGCTTAAGAAGGTAAGTAGAACAGCAAGGGGGGGGAACAACTGTTCCATGTGATTTAGATTCGCTCAAAAGCAGGATTTCCTGCTTTCTAGTGAATATAAATCGCGCGGCACAGCTGATCATTGAAAATACTGGTTCGGACAAACCGGTAGCATTTTTTTACGACTGGTTCACCGGAACCGGTATATTTTATTACTACTGGTTCACCCGAACTGGTGTGAACCAGTAGGATTTCACCCTTAGTCTTGGCTCCATTACATTCTAATCACTGCGGTGGCACAGTGGTTAGAATGCAGTACTGCAGGCTACTTCTGCTGCCTGCAGTACTGCTCATCTCCGTTTCAAAGCCGAAGAGCCAGCACTGTCCAAAGACGTCTCCGTGGTCATGTGGCTGGCATGATTAAACACCAAAGACACACAGAACGCTGTAATCTTCCCACCAAAGGTGGTCCCTATTTTTCTACTTGCATTTTTTCGAACTGCTAGGTTGGCAGAAGCTGGGACAAGTAACGGGAGCTCACCCCGTTACGCGGCACTAGGGATTCGAACCGCTGAACTGCCGACCTTTCGATCGACAAGCTCAGCGTCTTAGCCACTGAGCCACCGTGTCTCTGCAGATATGAATAGAAGCGCATAAATTTTATATGCGGCCTCCGTGGCCATGACTAGCGTGGCGCTTGAGAGCAGGCAGATTGTCCAGCGGGGGTTGGGCATAATATCAACCCCCAAAGAAGAGTCAGCTCGAATTATAATTTGGAGGAGCACGAATACGCCAAGAAGGGAGAGCTATTTCCAACAAGCTTCAGGTCATGTGGGCCCAGGGGCACTGCCTCAGCCTGGGATATGGGGGAGGGGGGGTGTCTCCTTAATTACCCCCAGAAGCTTCCCTTTCCTCGGTCATTTCCGCCGCCTTGAAATCCACCCGTGACCTCTCCACTTTTGAAAACACCCAGGGCTCTTGCTGGCTTGCCCTGGGACAGACGGGACATTGTTTGGCAAGCTGGAGGACAAACAAGGGATCCTTTGAGCGATGTGAGAACAGCGGCATCGCAAGGCGGGAGGGGGGCTTGGCCTTTTGTTCCTCCAGCTCCCGAAGAGGCACCAGGAGCCAATGACAAAATCCAGAAACAACATGGGGAGGGGGTGGCACGAAGGCATCCTGGCGCATTTCTTCCCACCTCTGTCCTTCCTCGCTTGGGTGCGTTTTGGCTTGGAGATGCCATCCGAGAGAGCCACTTTGTCTAAGTGGCACTGAAGCAAGAGAGAAGGAGGTGGGGAGGGGTGGGAGAGAGGGAAAGAGAAAGAGGGGGAGAGAGAGAGAGAGGGAAGGAGAGAGGGAGGGAGAGAGAAGAGAGAAGGAGGGAGGGAGGGAGAGGGGGGAGGGAGGGAGGGAGAGGAGGAGAATTATCTGCTATGAGGCCTGCTCCTCCTAACTTAAGAAACAGACAGCAGGAGCGATGGCAGCTTGCTTGGCAGCCCTGCAGAACTGGGAGTTAAGAGAGCGTTTTCATTCGATGCGCGTGCGAAGGCCAGCCCTGGAGAATGGGATGATTCACTCTGCCTTTTCTCAAGCGATTGCAGCTGTACCCGGGTGAGCCAGAGCAGAAGGGGGCTTGGAGGGGACCCTTGGCAACCAGCCAAGCCAAGTGGCGTCTTTGCAGAGATGTCAGGGAGAGGTCAACAAGGGTGACACGCTCCAGGAAGCAAGCTCTTATTTCCTAGGGCTCAGAACTGAGAAAAGAGACAAGGAGAAGGTAGAAAAGGGAGAGGGGGGACGAGAGAGAGAGAAGGAGGGAGGGAGGGAGGGAGAGCGCTAAGGGGGAGAAGGAACAAAGCACTCAATTTGGTCTTTGAAAGAACTCAAAGGTCATATTGCTAAAAAAACCAGCCAGGTTGGAGCTGGTTGGTTCTTGGATGGGAGACCAGAAAACACTAAACTGTAAAATGGATTGAGGAAGAAAGGAAGGAAGAGAGAGAGGGAGGGAAGGAGGGAGGGAGGAAAGAAGGAAGGGAGGGAGGAAAGAAGGGAGGGATGGATGGAAAGAAAGAAAGAAGGGAGGGAGGAAAGAAGGGAGGGAGGAAAGAAGGGAGGGAGGGAGGAAAGATAAGAAAGAAGGGACGGAGGGAAAGAAAGAAGGGAGAGGGAGGGAGGAAAGAAGGGAGGGTGGGAGGGAAAGAAAGAAGAAGGAAGGAAGCAAGGAAGGAAGGAAGGAAGGATTTCTCAACCTTAGCAACTTTAAAATGTTGACTGGGGAATTCTGGGAGTTGGCCACAAATCTTGAAGTTGTCAAAGTTAAGAAACATTGCCCTAAAACCAACAGTCGATATTTCTGTCCTATGGTTCAAAAAAACCCTGCACGGACCCATCCACGTAGGTCATCTAATGTTCTCCTGGTTGCCGATTTGTTTCCAATCAAATACCAAGTGCTGTTTATTATCCTGACAGCTGCCTGTGACTTACAGATGATTCCAGAGCCCTTTCCCCTCCCCAGGAACCCTCCCTCCCCCAGCTTCTTCTTGAGTTCATTTGTGGTGATTCACCTATGTTTGCTCCCGATTTATCTCATGGCGATTGGAGGCCAATTTTTTTTTTCTTCTCCAGCCCTTCATTCTTTCCAGAGCTTCCCTGCCAAAAGGAGAGGCCTCTTATCGTTGTTGCTCATTGAAATCTGCAACAACCCTGCGTTTAATTTTGATCGGATACCGTAATGGCTAAAAAATGTCAATAGTTGGCCATATGTGTAGCGTAACAAATAAATTATTGTGGATTTTTTTTTTTCCATCCCAGATTTCTCTTTTTCGTTGCTTCTATCTTGCACTGCCTACTGCACAGTGGTGAGTTGCCCCTGGTTCGTACCGGTTCTATAGAACCGGTAGTAAAACCAGCGGGAGGCTCCGCCCACCGACCCCAATGTCATCATGTGTGGCATGGCTTAGTGGGCGTGACTTGGTGGGCGTGGCAGGGGAAGGAGACTGTAAAATCTCCATTCCCTCCTCAATCCAGGGGAAGGATACTGCAAAATCCCCATTTCCTCCTGATCAGCTGGGACTTGGGAGGCAGAGAATAGAGAGGGTGGGGCCAGTCAGAATTTTTACTACCGTTTTTTGTTTTAAATTTGATTTATATGCTGCCCTTCTCCGGAGACTCAGGGCAGTTTACAATGCGTTAAGCAATAGCCTTCATACTTTTGTATATTTATACAAAGTCAGCTTATTGCCCTCACAAACTGGGTCCTCAATTTACCTACCTTAGAAAGGATGGAAGGCTGAGTCAACCTTGAGCCTGGGGAGATTCGAATTTACAGTAATTGCAGACAGCTGGTGTTAATCACAATGCTATTAGTCTGCTGAGCCACCAGGTTCTCTGAACTACTCAAAATTTCTGCTACCAGTTCTCCAGAACTGGTCAGAGCCTGCTGAAACCCACCTCTGATTCATTTTTGTTTGTTTGTTTGTTTTTTTAATGTCCCTTTGTTTTAAAGCAATGTTTTTCAAACTTGGAAATTTGAATAGGAATTCAACGCCCAGAATTTCTCAGCCAGCAAAGCAAACCATTTTTTCTTCTTCATTTGAAGGGTTACCCTTTTCTTTCTCCAAATGGCTTTTAGGAAAACATAACTTGAGACTAGTTGGCAGAAGCAAATCGAGTTTTATTCTTGTAGCTACCGTGGTGCTGAAGTTAAAAGTGAGCAACTATTCATGACTCACTGCTCCGCTGCAAGTATCTTGCGAGTATTTGCGAGTAACAGCATTAAAAGTTGTGAAAAGCATAGAATGGTATTGAAGGACAGAGGGAAGAAAACTTTGTGTATTTTACAACTTTAATCATTATACATACATTCAGCCATTGAATAATCAAGACTGGGTCTAAATATGAACTCCTTTGTCCTGGCCTCACCCAGAACTTTTCCACACTCATCATTGATCCAACCAAGACTATTCCAGGGTGAAATCACTCTGTGAATGGTGAGCCTCATGTCTGCCATCTCCATCCATCCATCCACGTTCCCAGGAAAAGAAGTTAGCAGGGAATCCAGCAGGATGCTAAAGCGCTGAGGAATAGAAAGAAGAAGAAGAAAGATCAGGGGTGAAATCCAGCAGGTTCTGACAGGTTCTGGAGAACTGGCAGCGGAAATTTTGAGTAGTTCAGAGAACCAGCAAATGCCATCTCTGGCTGGCCCCAGAGTGGGGTGGGAATGGCTCCCGAGCTCCGTTTCCAGCTGCGACGGCTTCCTGCAACCCTCTGCCAGTGAAAATGGAGCTTTCGCTGGCAGAGGCCCCACGGGCAAGATCTAAGCACCCCGCAGCCGGATCTGGCCAGGGGTGGGCTTCAAAAATTTTAGCAAGGGGTTCTCTGCCCGGTTGCTGGGTAGGCATGGCCAGGGTGGGTGTAGCCTAGTCAGCGTCTTGCGCGGGGGGGGGGGCTTTTTGCCCTCTCCAGGCTCCAGAGGCTTTCCTCGAGCCTCCAGGACTGAACTTCCGGTAGGCCTGTTTTTCACCCTCCCCAGCCTCTGTGCGTGCCCTGCACTTACCTGCACAGGCTGCGTGGGGACTCCTGGGAGGGCGGGGTGGGGTGGATGGGGCCAGCCAGGAGTGGGATTTGGGGGTTCTCTGAACTTCACAGAATCTTAGCTACAGGTTCTCCCGAACCCCTGTGAACCCCCAGCAGCCCACCCCTGGATCTGGCCCCCCGGGCCTTGAGTTTGACACCTCGACTTATACTGAAACATAAGCATAGCCCATTTATCCCACACATTCTCGGGGAGGTCGATTAGGGTCACAGAGAGGAATGAAACACCCCTCCTTGTAACCTTACTTGTAAATGGCTGATCTGTTGTTGCAAGAAGCTGGTTTCAAGTGGATTTCTTAAGGGTCTCCAGAAGAAAAGAGAGCATTTATAGAACCAGGGCTTGGGGATGTTTTGAAGTCAAAACGTCCCCTTGTAGAGCCTTGGTAGTACAGTACTTGGTAGTACAGTGGTCTAAGGCACCCTGTTATTAAGCTGGTTATTAAGACCAGCTGCCTGCAATTACTGCAGGTTCGAAACTCGCCAAGGCTCAAGGTTGACTCAGCCTTCCATCCTTTCTAAGGTAGGTAAATTGAGGACCCAGTTGTGGGGGCAATAAGCTGACTTTGTATAAATATACAAAAGGATGAAGGCTATTGCTTAACGCATTGTAAGCCGCCCTGAGTCTCCGGAGAAGGGCGGCATATAAATCAAATAATAATAATAATAAAATGCACTCAAGCAGAAAGCAAACCTACCGTGATCTAGCAAATTGCTGCTGTATTTCAAGAAAGGACCAGCTGAGATGATGGCTGATGGAGGTTTCCTTCCCAAAATCACAGAGCCCGGAGAATGGCAATTCTGAAAGAGGGGAAATAAAATACCATGATCTTGTTCAAGAGAACTATCAGCCCAACAAACCAGACTAAGAAACCAATGCCCATATACAAGTAGTCCTCGACTTACAACAGTTCATTTAGTGACCACTCAAATGGCCCTGAAAAAAAGCGATTTACGACCATTTTTCACTCTTATGACCAATGTAGCATCCCCACAGTTGTGTGATTTACATTCGGATGGTTCATACTTATGACGGTTGCAGTGTCCCCGGGCTCATGTGATCCCCTTTGGCCAACCTTCTGACAGGCAAAGTCAATGGGGAAGCCAGATTCACTTAACAACCTTGTTCCTAGTTTAGCAACTGCAGCGATTCACTTAACAAATGTGGCAAGAAAAGTTGTAAAATGGGGCAAAACTCACTTAGCAAATTTCTCACTTAGGCAACATAAATGTCGGGCTCCATTGTGGTCGTAAGTCGAGGGCGACCTGTATAGGTTAGGAGGACTCCTGCCTCACTTTATGTTCCATGTGAACTAAGGAGGGGCTTGGCTAAGCTGTTTTCTCAAATTATTTTCTGGGCCCAGGCTCAAGTCCCTCTTATCTCACAACTGTCTTGGTAGCAGCACTTCCTCCTGTGCTTCAGAGCCAGAGAATGGAGCAACTTGTCACAGCCAAGTTGCTGTGGCCAACTTGCCATGGCCAACTCATTGCACTCAACTCATTACGGCCAACATGTTCCATGGCCAACTTTCCACGGCCAACTCATTGCAGTCAACTCATCACGGCCAACATGTTCCATGGCCAATTTGCCACGGCCAACTCATTGCAGTCAACTCATTATGGCCAACATGTTCCATGGCCAACTTGCCACGGCCAACTTGCCATGGCCAACTCATTACGGCCAACATGTTCCATGGCCAACTTGCCACGGCCAACTCATTGCAGTCAACTCATTATGGCCAACATGCTCCATGGCCAACTTGCCACTCTGTTGAGCCCACATTTCTTCATCGCATTCCCCAGCTGAAACCCCACTCAGGAAGTATTCGCCCTACATCACTGTACTTGTTAAATAAATCATGCAGAGGTGGTATTTGCCGGTTCTCCGAACTACTAAAAATTTCTGCTACTGGTTTGCCCAAACCGGCTGAATACCACCTCTGATGCAGACCAACAAGGCTCTTCTCCTATAATGTCAAAGAGAAAACCTAATCTAACGTTTCTCCTCCCTCTCTCACCACAGTGCATTTGGCCAACCAGAAGTTGCAAAGGCGGATGCGACAGTGTAGGTACACTTCTTCAGAATCCGCAATGAAGGTGAAAACGTTGAAGGAGAAGCGTCCCAACAGAGATACTCCATCCTCCTCAACTCGTACTGTGCCATCTTGAGGATTAGGACACCTGAAGAGGGAAAGGTAAGATCAGACAGAGGGATGAAAGTGGTTGGAAGGTACGATGGGATTAAAGATCACCTCCCATTTACCTGTTGCTCACTTGTCATTTATACAATACGGGTAGTCCTTGACTTATGACCACAATTGAGCCCCCAAATTTCAGTGGCTAAGTGAGACATTTGTTAAGTGGATTTTGCCCCATCTTATAACCTTTCTTGCCCCAGGTCTTAAATGAAGCACTGCAGTCAATAAGTTAGTAACCTGGTTGTTGAGTGGATCTGGCTTCCCCGTTGACTTTGCTTGTCAGAAGTTCGCAAAATGGGATCTCATGACCCCAGGACACTGCAACCGTCATAAATATGAGTCAGTTGCCAAGCATCTGAAGTTTGATCATGTGACCTTGGGGGAGGCTGCAAGGGTAATTAAGTGTGAAAAATGGTCATGTGACTTTTTTCAGTGCCGTTTTAGCTTTGAATGGTCACTAAACGAACTGTCGTAAATCAAGGACTATCTGTACTCACATTTATCTGTCAACCTAATGCCTTTAATAAAGTCTGTTTCTGTATTTTCAACCCAGGACTCATCAAATTCTGATGAATACATTGACAAGAGCCCGTCGTGCGTGTGGTTCCTTAATCACAATCAACCATCCTGCAACTTGATTAAATCTACCTTAAGTTTTATAGGAATTTAACCATAACTGGTGATATTACAGCTATCTTCAACTTACAACAGTTCATTTAGTTACCGAAGTTATAACGTTACCGAAGTTATAACAGCACTGAAAAAAGTATGACTGTTTTTCACACAACTGTTGTGGCATCTCCATGGTCACGTGATCAAAATTCATCTTCTTGGCAACTGACTCATTTTTTTTTTTAAATGATTTATATGCCGCCCTTCTCCGAAGACTCAGGGCGGCTTACAATGTGCTCAGCAATAGCCTTCATCCTTTTGTATATTTATACAAAGTCAGCTTATTGCCCCCACAACCCGGGTCCTCATTTCACCTACCTTAGAAAGGATGGAAGGCTGAGTCAACCTTGAGCCTGGCGAGATTCGATCTTACTTTAATTGCAGACAGCTGGTGTTAAATTACAGTGCTTAGTCTGTTGAGCTATCCAGGCTCCTTATATTTATGACGGTGTCAGTGTCCCAGGGTCAGGTGATCACCTTTTGTGACCTTGTGATAACCTAAGTCAATGGGGAAGTCAGATTCACTTAACAACCATGTTACTAATTTAACAATTGTAGTGATTCTGCAGTGACCTTTTAACTACTGCAAGAAAGGTCCTAAAATGGAGCAAGACTTATTTTAACAACTGTTTTGCTTAGCAATAGAAATTTTGGCCTTGATTGTGGTCATAAGTAGAGAACTATATGTACGAATCAAGCCAAATGCAGTTTATTCTTAGTATTGCACTTTTGTTTGCCAGTTAGCTTCTGATGCCAGTAATTAGCAATCTGATTATTGCTATCTCAAAGGCAATCAATGCTGTATCGCCTCAATCTTCTGTATTCCCTCCTCCCTCAAATCTAAGATTCCCGCAAATCTAGGATGGGCTGAAGTCAGGCTGGTCTGATGTTTCCTCTTCACATTGGGTAGACCAGGACAGTCAGTGGTAGGATTCAAATAATTTAAAAACTGGTTCTCTGCCCTAATGACTGGTTGGGTTGGCCTGGCCATGATAGGCAAGGCCAGGGGGTGTGACAGACAGCACTTGGCCTCCTGCACCCCCCTGGGAGCAAAAATGGGCCACAGGGGGGACATGCCCCCATGCCCCATTTTGGGCCTAGTAGGCCTTCCTGCGCTTGCCTGGGAGTCAAAATGGGGCACGTGGGGACTCCTGGAAGGGATGGGGTGGGGAGGGGCAGGGCGGGGCTACCCAGCAATTTAACTACCGGTTTGTTTGTTTGTTTGCTTGTTTGTTTGTTTATTTATTTATTCAGTTTATATGCTGCCCCTCTCTGAAGACCCAGGTTGATCTGAACCAGCCCGAACCGGCTGAATCCCACCACTGAGACAGCCCCATGGGCTAGATCCAGTTTGCGGGCCTTGAGTTTGACACCCCTATACTAAATGATCTTGCATCCCTCACTTCTGGAGATGCTAGTGGGAGGACACGAAGTCCTCTCCATCCCAAAATATCTAAAGTCTGTTTCCTTTCAATTCCCATGAACAGCTTACTGGTTGGTGATGAGATCCCACCGAATGCTGGAGGAAGGATCTCTGTCCGGCGTGGCCCAGCACGAGGACAAGGTGACCACAAAGCGGGTGGGATCAGCTCCCAAAATCTTGATGCCCACATAGGCCCTGTGGTTGACCGTGAGCACAATAGGGCTCTGAACAAACGGTTTGCTGTACTGGGGATCTTGGTACAAGGTCATGATGGCCTGGTAATTTCCTTGGCCAGAGGAGACGGTCATGTTAATGATGCTATCAAAGGAATAAAACAGAAGAGAATTATCATGCTTTTTGTCAACGTTTTGGAGGAAGCGTTAAGGAAACATCACACGTTCTCAGAAATTATTGCATTGTAGGACAACACAAGTGATGGGAGAGAGGGAAGAAGAAAATGGTTAAGAAACGGCAGAATGGAGGGCTTGGTGAGACTGCAGAGACCTTTGGCGAAATGGACACTTCATACAACACTTAACCAGGTTAGTTATTAACCAGGTTAGTTATAAACCTAGTAGCTCTATTTGTAGAATATACTAAGGCTTCACTGCAATTAGATCAGTGTTTCTCAACCTTGCCAACCTTAAGACATGTGGCCCTCAGCTCCCAGAATTCCTCAACCTGTCAAAGTCCACACATCTTAGAGTTGTCAAAGTTGAGAAAATCTGGGTTCCACTTTTTGTAGTTCAGTAACTCAGTAACTCAGATCTAATCAAGCCATCTGTAACTCAGATGGCTTGATTAGATTATGATTCAATTTCTTGAGTATCCTTCAAAGAGACTCACCAAGTAACCAAGGAAGCCGGATCTGTCAACTCCACCAATGTATTTTTACATCATTGTCATGCATTACGACCCACTGCATTACAGTGCATCGGTTTTTAATCCTATGTACCACCTAGAGATGCCATGCCTCAGTGGTGGTTATATCAACATCATAAATAATTGTAAGAAATGATTGTCTATTTTCTCCCAGGTTCCAGAAGAAAGGAATGGGCTATTTTTGAGGAAGATCTGCCACCCAGTGGTAGAGAAGGAAATTCTAACCACATGGAATGATCTGGAGATGTTATCTACTCAACGTGGACATGTTGACTCTTTCCCTACTGGTCTCATTGCTATCAATTTTTTTTCCCAGTGCTGTGATCTGAAGCAGGGTGCGTGGCTGGAAGCCACAGAATAGAAATGAGACAGAAACATGCAGTCCATGTACCACTCAGGGTTCCAGAGGTTGAGGGGTGATAGGATGGGAAAAGGAGGGGAAAAAAGATGTGGTAGGAAACAGCAAATAAGATTCTTTTTACATACGGAGGACACCAGGAAAGTTGAACAAAAGGACACAAGAGTTGAACAGTGTGGTAAGGTGTGGGGAAGAATGCAAGTATAATTGCTGCCCTGGGAACTCACTCATGGATGGGATAAATGACGGATGCCATGGAGAGATTGATGTTTAGTGGGAAAGCACAGGAGAAGCGCAGGAAAAGAAAACGGTCTCGGCTGATCATCCCACCGTAGGTGTTCTCCAGATGACCCTGCACTACGTTAGTGTAGATAGCATGGGTTGAATTTACCTAGAAAGAGCAGGGGTGGGGGGGTGGGGGGAGGGGGAAAGGAAAAAAAAACAGATATTGAAGAAGAGGACAACTTCTTGTTGTTGTTATAACAATGTTATCTAGGAATATGTCAATCAAAGGATAGGCCATTGAGTTACAGGTAGACCTCAACTGACCATCAATTAGGACTGGAATTGTTTATTGTTAAGTCATGTTGCTGTTGCGCCTGATTTTACTACAATTTTTTGTCATGGTTGTTAAGCGAATCATGGGATCGTTAAGCAAATCTGGCTTCCCCCATTGGTTTTTGGTTGTCAGAAGTCCCCTTAGATAGAAGATCATTCATGGTGATCCCATGATCTCAGGACAGTGCAACTGTGGTCAATTCATGCTGGTCTCCAAACACGCAAATTCTAATCCCATGACTGTGGGAATGCTGTAATGCTTGTGAATGCAAGGTTAAGTCATAAATCCCTTCCTTTAGCACCGTTTTAACTTTGAATGGTCAATAATCAAATGGTCATCAATTGAGGACTACCTGTATCTTATTCATCTGGTTTGAGTTTTATGAAAGCCTTGTCTAGAAGTCACCTTAACTTGTCCTTCACCTTATCCTTTCGACAACAACTCTTCAAAGTAAAGAAATAACTACATGTGATGACCCAGGGCGTGGCACAAAGACAACACAGCTAGAGAATAAGTATGAGTCTCTTTATTAGCTCCAACTTTGCCCCCAACATCCCTTTTACGCTCCGGTCTGGAGAAAAACTGTCCCACAAACCTGTAACAGTCTTTGCCTGAAAATACTCCAGTCCAAGCTTTATAAGCAGAAAACTTCCAACTATAAATCCAACAAGGCAAGATAAGGTAATTAATTCAACAGGGAAAGCAAGATAAGGAGTTCCAGAAGTGAAGTAGCACGGCAGTAAATCAAACCAGTTGAGAGGATGCCAGGAATTCAGATAAAGCAGTTAACACAAGATGAACTCAGCATTTGTTCCCGACAACTGCCCCTCCCATTCTCCTCTCCTTTAAACTCCATCCCCAGGTGTGCCTTGTGAAGAGAATCAGAGGCCTTTCGTCCCTCATAAACCACGCAACCCACATTGCTCTCTTCTCCGTTCTTCGCTGCGTGCCCTAGGATGAGGAGGGGGTGGGCCTTGGTCTTCATCTGAACCCTCTCTCCCTTGTTCTACCTCTCCCCTGCTCTGCCTAGCCTGACTTTGCCCTTCCCGAGTTTCCTCCACAGCCAACAGAGCCACTCTCCCGCTCTCTGTCAGCTGTTCGTCTACCCCCTCGGATTCAGACTCCGACTGGGGCAACCTCTCTGTTTCAGGTGCTTCTCGCTCTCCCTACCTCCATTTGGGTTCCACAGGTTTTCTGCACTGTATCAAAGTAGAAGACGAGTCTGTCTCCAACTAAGGACCCCGTGCAACTGAGGTCAGCCAAGTGGAGTCTTTCAGCAGGGAATCCGTCGGTGAAAAGAAGGCAGCGGGAGAGAGAGACCATGCTTCTGCTGCTCTTGCAGGTCAGCTGGTAATCTGCAGAAAGGAATGAGATAAACAATATTTGGTTTAATAGAATGACAGAGTTGGAAGGGACCTTGGAGGTCTTCTAGTCCAACCCCCTGCTCAGGCAGGAAACCCTACACCACTTCAGACAAATGGTTATCCAACATCTTCTTAAAAACTTCCATATAATGAAATAAATATAAATATAAAGCACCCACAACTTCTGCAGGGAAGCCATTCCATTTATTAATTGTTCCAATTGTCAGGAAATTTCTCCTTAGTTCTAGGTTGGTTCTCTCCTTGATTGATTTCCATCCATTGTTGCTTGTCTTGCCTTCTGGTGCTTTGGAAAATAAGCGGATCCCCTCAGGGTGTTTAGATCTGGCCTGCAGGGCCGTCCTGGAAACAGTGAAGGACCAGCCCACAGTGCCTCTGCTAGCAAAAATGGGGCTCGGGAGGGCTGCATGTGGCCCTCCCAGGCTCCGTTTTCGGCCATGACAGCCTCCTGCCGCCCTCTGCCAGTGAAAATGTAACTTCCATTTTCGCTGGCAGAGGGCTGCAGGAGAGCATTGCAACCAAAAACAGGGCCTACCCACCCCGAGCTCCGTTTTTGCTGACAGAGGACGGCAGGAGGCATCACGACCGAAAATGAAGCCTCAACGAGTAATGTCGAGCTGGCCACGCTCCCTGGCCACGCCCCCCCCAGGTCCCGAGGTCAGACACAACCCTGACGTGGCCCACCCAATGAAATCAAGTTAGACACCCTTGAACTAGGCATACCCAATTCCTTCAGCCGTTCTTCAGTCAGCGAGTCCGCTTAGGGATGACAATAAAAATTTCTGAAATGAGTCACTTTGTTGAACCAAGTGGCTACAAGCAAGGTCATGTGGATTTCTTCTCCTAAATCAAACCAATCGTTTGAACTGAACAATTAACTTTGCATTTCAGATGGAAATGTTTTGATGTGAATGAAACGGGCCCTTTGAAAATGGAACAGGGTGATTGATATGCCCCTGGATTAGAAAATCTCTTTGTCTAAAAATAAAAAATTCTGTGGACAATTTTTCTCCATTTTAAAACCCGTTTTCTCCCCATTGGGGTGGAAGAGAATTACAATTCCCCTCCTCAAAACTACAGTAGTGCCCAAAATTGTGGTAACCTTTTGGGAAAAATGTATTTTTGAGGTTTGATGGCTAATAACACCACTTTTTGGGGGGGGGAGTTTCAAGATAATCCTATTCCACTGCTAGAATGGCCTGGGAAGAGCCCAGACCTTAACCCAATTGAAAATCTATGCAGCCGACTAAAGAAACTTGTTAGAAGCGACCCAGCAATAAAACCCAGTGAATAGAAGCAATCATTCAATCTTGGTTTCACATGATAACAGCTGCAGAACTCAAAGACTTGGTTCGCTCCATGGGAAGACGTTCTAAGGCCGTAATTCATGCTAAAGGGTACCCAACTAAGTATTAACTGACCCCTGGGTTTAAGTCATCATGCCACTGCAACCAGAGGATCGAAGTCCTGCCCCTTTTTCAGATGTGAAGCTTGTAAAAACAGGACGGGACTTCTATTCCATGGTCCCAGTACCAATAAAGGAGAATATGTGTAGCTCAGAGTTGGCACAAGGAGTCCTTGGTGCTTTCTGAGCTTGGTTGTTTTTCTTGCAAACATTTCACTACCCAACTAAGTAACATCATGAGTGCCATTTTATCTTTTTTTTTTTTTTTGGACACTGTCCCCCTGCAGCCTGTTTTGCCTGCAGCAACATTGAACAGGAAACAAATTTGTATTCAAAGACAAATAGTACAAAGGAAAAAAAACTGAAATCAGATCAAGCTTTTGCTTACCATAGTCAGCCCTTTTGACGGGGCTGTAAGATTTGTGGCAGAAGCAGCCCCATTTTCCTCCCCTTTCCCCACACCATTCATCGTCTCCACAAGCCAAGTCAAGGCAGGGGTCAGTGGCAGCTGCAGAAGGAACAAGAGGTTTTACTGGCAACAAGGTTTGGCCCTCGTGATTTTCCTCTCCCCTTTCTCGGATTAAGCAATGATGGCAGCGATTCAGAGCATTTCAATAATCACAGGGTTATTTGTTGTAGATCTTCAGAAGTTTCATTAGGAATCAGATTTGTCAGTCTAAAGCAGAAATAAAGACATGACCTCAGGGATGGGCTTCAAAATTTTTTAGCAAGGGGTTCTCTGCCCGGTTGCTGGGTGGGCGTGGCCAGGGTAGGTGTGGCCTAGTCAGCCTCCTGCACCACAGTGGTGGTGGTGGGGGGGTGTTTTTGCCCTTCCCGGGCTCCGGAGGCTTTCCTCGAGCCTCTGGGAGGGCAAAAACGGCCTCCCCAGGCTCCAGGGGCCCTCTGGAGGCCGGAAACAGGCCCATTTCCAGCCTTCCTGAACGTCTGGTAGGCCTGTTTTTCGCCCTCCCCAAGCCTCTGTGCATGCCCTGCACTTACCTGCATCCAAAACGGGCCATATGGGAACTCCTTGGAGGGGCGGGGTGAGGTGGGAGGGGCCAGCCAGCCAGCCAGGAGTGAGATTTGGGGGTTCTCCAAACTGCACAGAATCTTAGCTAGAGGTTCTCCCGAACCAGTGGTGGGTTGCTCCTGGTTCGTACCGGTTCTATAGAACCGGTAGTAAAATTGGCGGGACGCCCCGCCCACTGACCCTGCCGTCATGAAAATGCTTCTGCGCATGCTCAGAAGAGTGCCCCGTTGCGAACCGGTAGTAAAGGTAAGTAGAACCCATCCCTGTCCCGAACTCCTGCGAACCCCCAATCCTAAAAATAGGATTGCCAACATGATCGCCAATGACCGATGACGGATCTGGCACAAGAAGAAGAAGATAACTTTTAATAAAATTCACTCACGGCATTGAACGGAAGCCCTCCAGCCTGGCGTCTGAATTCCCTCAAGGAAGCACATTTCCTCATAAGCTGCAAGGCTGATGCACAGCATGTTGTTATACCTCCCGTAGTGGCATAAATCATACAGGCAGCTCAAATAAAACAGGGAAGGATCCACCTGCCAGTAGCACTTGGCAAAAGGTCCCGTCTGGCTGACCAAAATCCCACACAGCTCTTCATATTCCCGCAGGTTTTCACAGGGCTCCAGGGTGGAATTGTCATCCAAACACCTTAATAAAATAACAACAACAACAACAACAACAAAGAAAGAGGTCTTGCTTTTATTAGAAGCTCCACAGCAAAATGTAAACAAATACAAGAAGGAGCTTTGAAGTCATGTGGACTTCAACTCTCAGAATTCCTCAGCCAGGGGAAGTTGGAAGTCCACACATCTTCCAAGTTGCCAGGGTGGAGAAACTCAACTCTAGCAAATGCAGGAAACGAAGCCACAATGTTTTAATAAACATGTTGTTGATTCAGGTGCCTTCCTTGGTGGTGTGTTATTAGCAATAGCATAAAATGTATCCGTGGCTCCATAAACACACACAAAAAAGTCAACATCACAGTCTAGTAATACATCGGTAATACCATGAAACTGTGGCAGGATTTCTTTCATACATAGGATAGGATAGGATAGGATAGGATAGGATAGGATAGGATAGGATAGGATAGGATAGAATAGAATAGAATAGAATAGAATAGAATAGAATAGAATAGAATAGAATAGAATAGAATAGAATAGAATAGAATAGAATAGAATAGAATTCTTTATTGGCCAAGTGTGATTGGATACACAAGGAATTTGTCTTTGGTGCATATGCTCTCAGTGTCCAGCAGGGATGAAATCCAGCAGGTTCTGACAGGTTCTGGAGAACCGGTAGCGGACATTTTGAGTAGTTCGGAGAACTGGCAAATACTACCTCTGGCTGGCCCCAGAGTGGGATGGGAATGGGGATTTTGCAGTATCCTTCCCTCTGGAGTGCAGAGGGAATGGGGATTTTGCAGCATCCTTTCCCTGCCACACCCACTGCCACGCCCACAGAACTGGTAGTAAAAAAAATTGAATTTCACCACTGGTGTACAGGTGTGTACACTGAGTGTGTACACACTTCTGTGTATCTGTATGTACACAGGTGTGCTGTATTTGCATCTATTTTGGAATGCAAAATGACTTTGATGTCATTGGACTCACAACACAGCCGTGAGGCTTAACACATCATCTTTGAATCTTTTCTTACCCTGCTGGGCTGGTCTCTGTTTTCCAGGCATTGCCAAAATGCAAATCGTTCTGAGCTCTGCTTCCATCGGGCAACACCTTATCATCCTCTGAAATATCATTAAAATTCCCACACATTCCACACAGCTTCCCCTGGTACTCTGGTCCCACTTTGATGAACAGAGTATGTTGGCCATTGTAATGGATTTCTACATTTGCTGCTAATTTTACAATCACCATATTTTTTATCTTGGAAATGAAGCCTGTGAGTTCCAGAGTATGGGGCAATCCCACCATTTCCTGGTTGACCTGAAAAAAGAAAAGTAGAATTAGGGAAGTGAGCTGGATAAGTTATATCTAAATCATGAATGTGGTCAACGGCAATTTTTTAAAAATCTTTTTCCTATAATGTTGGAATTTGGGAGTCATTCAAAAGGAGGGATAGAATCAAGATCACATGAAGTGTTAATACCACTTTATAATGCCTTGGTAAGGCCACACTTGGAATACTGCATCCAGTTTTGGTCGCCAGGATGTAAAAAAAGATGTTGAGACTCTAAAAAGAGTGCAGAGAAGAGCAACAAAGATGATTAGGGGACTGGAGGCTAAAACATATGAAGAACGGTTGCAGGAACTAGATAAGTCTAGTTTGATGAAAAGAAGGACTAGGGGTGACATGAGAGCAGTCTTCCAATATCTCAGGGGCTGCCACAAAGAAGAGGGAGTCAAGCTCTTCTCCAAAGCACCTGAAGGCAGGACAAGAAGCAATGGGTGGAAACTAATCAAGGAGAGAAGCAACTAAGGAGAAATTTCCTGACAGTGAGAACAATTAATCAGTGGAACAACTTGCCTCCAGAAGTTGTGTGAATGCTCCAACACTGGAAGATTTTAAGAAGATGTTGGATAACCATTTGTCTGAAGTGGTGTAGGGTTTCCTGCAGTGGCGAAAACCAATTTTTTTTACTGCAGGTTCTGTGGGCGTGGCTTGGTGGCCGTGGCAAGGGAAAGATATTGCAAAATCTCCATTCCCACCTTACTCCAGGGGAAGGATATTGCAAAATCTCCATTCCCACCCCACTCTGGGGCCAGCCAGAGGTGGTATTTGCCGGTTCAAAATTTCCGCTACTGGTTCTCCAGAACCTGTCAAAACCTGCTGGATTTCACCCCTGGTTTCCTGCCTAAGCAGGAGGTTGGACTAGAAGACCTCCAAGGCCCCTTTTAACTATTCTATTCTATTCTATTCTATTCTATTCTATTCTATTCTATTCTATTCTATTCTATTCTATTCTATTCTATTCTATTCTATTCTAGGTGAATGGTGGAAATTTTAGGAGATTAAAGTATTCATTCCCAATGTAGTGATAGCTGTATTTTGCTAACCTGAAGCAGTGTTTTAAAGGGGATTAAATGAATTAGTAAAGGCCATTTGTGGTCACAGGCCAGTTCCAGATTCAAAGACAAGTTGTGTCTAAACATCACTTGCTGGGGAACATTAGCAGGACAGCAACAGACTTCCAACTGACATCTAGTAGACATCACAGATATAACGGTGGCTCAGTGGCTAAGACGCTGAGCTTGTCGATCGAAAGGTTGGCAGTTCAGCGGTTCGAATCCCTAGTGCCGCATAATGGAGTGAGCTCCCATTACTTGTCCCAGCTTCTGCAAACCTAGCAGTTCGAAAGCCCATAAAAAATGCAAGTAGAAAAATCACACATGGCAATATTCCACATACCTCTACAATCTGACCACTCCTTAGGACGATATGAAAGCTTAGCATGCTGCTCTTCAACCAGATTTCCACTCGAGTTACAAAAGACACCCGAGCATTTCCCCGTTGTTGATTCCGTGCCACAACCCGGTAGAAGAATGGAGAGGAGGCATTGCAAAGCTTTGAGATCTCGTAGGCACAGGTGCCTTGGAAATGTGCCACCAACCCATCAAAAGTGAAGTAATGAGGGTCCCCTGTCACTGTGCAGGTTCCCCACAGAGAGTGACAGCCTAATTTCCCATCTTTCACAGTACATCTCTGTCCAGGATTACAACTGGCAGCCACGCAGCGGAAGTCAGAGGGGCCGTAACAACTGCATTGCTCATGGCAACCAGGCAGCCAGACCCGGTCTCCAATCTGCAAAGAAATGTTAACAATGAAGTTCATCAGATCAAGGTCTAGTGAGGTACTAATACCATGCTATAAAGCCTTAGTAAGACCACACCTAGAGTACTGCATCCAGTTTTGGTCACCACACTATAAAAAAAGATGTTGAGACTCTAGAAAGAGTGCAGAGAAGAGCAACCAGGATGATTAGGGGACTGGAGACAAAACATATGCAGAACAATTACGTGAACTGGGCATGGCTAGTCTAGTGAAGAACAAGACCAGGGGAGACATGATAGCAGTCTTCCAATATTTGAGGGGCTGCCACAGAGAGGAGAGGGGGTCAAGTTATTTTCCAAGGCACCTGAAGGCCAGACAAGAAATAATGGATGGAAACTGAACAAGGAGAGAGTCAACCTGGAAATAAGGAGACATTTTCTGACAGTGAGAGCAATCAACCCATGGAACAGAAGTTGCCTTCAGAAATTGTGGGAGCTTCATCCCTGGAGGCTTTCAAGAAGAGACTGGACTGCCATTTGTCAGAAATGGTGTAAGGCAGGGGTTGGCAACCTTAAACACTCAAAGAGCCACAAAGGTCCTAACCAGAAGTCCCCGTTCAATTCTGGAACTGACCGGAAGTCCGGTTCCCCCATCATAGTGTCCTCCTAGTGTGGCATCCTTTTTCCTTTGCTGACCGGAAGTCCAGTTCCCCCACCATAGAGTCTCCTCTTAGCGCAGCATCCTTTTTCCTCTACCTGTCCTAACCCAAAGCCCTATCAATTGTGGAGCCGACCAGCAACAGGGAGCGGCAGCAGAGGGATGAAAGAGCCACATGTGGCTCCAGAGCCATGGGTTGCTGACCCCTGGTGTCCGGTCTCCTGCTTGGACAGGGGGTTGGACTAGATGACCTACAAGGTCCCTTCTGACTATGTCAATCTGTTAATCTATTAATGGATTATGAAGTCCCAGCAACACCTATCAACGCAACTCCTTGGTATCAGGCAACATGCGCAGACCTGAGCTAAACTACTCATTTTATTACCCCTCCAAAAATGTCCTCTAAAAATGTTCTCTAAAGAAATTCTAAAGATGGTTTCGCTCTTAACTATGAATAGCGAGTGCTCTTTGCCCTTATTGAGTTAAAATGTGAAGAATTGATCTTCTTAACTGTAAATGTTTGTTGGGTTTCTCGTCCTTGTTTACTGTATTACATTTGGCAAGGATGAAATCTCTCTCTCTTTTTTTTTTTTTGGATGCCTTCAGAAGAACATTTCTGCTCTCACCAAGATGCGTCTGGTTTAGCTATTTCTGCCGGAAACATTTGACCAAATAAAATGGACCATCTTTTGCCCTTGAAACAGAAGTCTAATTTTTCCCAGAAGGGTTGGAAGTGAGCTTGATGCTTGATAAAGTATTCATGATACTTTAAGCGCTATTTTTAACTCTGTTTATTATTATTACTTTGATCTGAATTGCTCTGTTATTCTTCTGTCATTTGCAGGCACATGCTTGCTCATCATTTATAATCCGAATAAAAGCTTGGCCTAATTTATAACATTTACCGCCTGTTCTAGAGTTCAAAAATCCATCTTCACAGCTAAAAATAGATATGATCACACTTAAAAGAAGGATCACAAAAAGGTCCTAGTTCCCCTCGTGGATAGACCACTTTGTTTTTCTTTCCTCCATCAGCAAGGAGAAAAGAGAAGAGGTCAACCAGATGTCGGGGTTCATCAGGGATTACGTAGGGTCAGAGCTGGCTTGCTGTCAGGGTTCCTACAGATGCCCTAATTAAATCATGAGCCTCGAGCCAAGCTTTAAAAGAAATCCAGTTATTTATTAGGAGCTTCATGTCGGCATGTTCCCAAGTGAAGCCAGCTCTGACCCTACATAATTTACATGCCAATCATGACCCTGATTCCCCCCTCCCACCCAGGATGTGTCATCAATCACATTCACCAACGGAGCAATTTCATGGGTTGTAGAGACCACTCCCCTCCGGCCACTGTGGGTAACTCTGGGATACAGCCTTGAGAGAGATAAGTCTGGAATGTGCATCTATCTTTGGCTGCCATGCTATTTCATGAGTTTCCCATCCCCCCTGACCTATGGCAACTCGAGAGCAGGCCAGGGATGCTTTGTGAGTTGACATCAGAATTCAAGGAAGTGGAGAGGACAGTGTCCTAACCAAGTCGACAAGCCAAGCTCAGTAGCTGCTTTCAGTACCATGGGTTTCTTTGATGTTTGTGGTTCTAGGTTCTAATAGAAGATCAACGGGCAGGATAGCTATCATGGTATCCCCAAGGTAGCTTCTTTGAAGACCATAGCTGGACCTTTAAATGGAGGTGATTAGTATTCTAGGTCAAAACTAAGGGAAGTTCAGGAGAGACTTTATGCCATGGCAGTCACCCAATATTATATGGTGTCACCTGGTCAGGATGTAAGGTTGTACCTTATAATTCAGCCCATTGTATATGCAGCCACACTGCTGTTCTGGAATGCAACTGCCCCCACTGCGCAAATACCCTTGGTCACAGAAGCATCCTTCAGAGCACGTGGGAAGGCAATGAAGCTTGACCCAAACATGCGAGCAGACATCCTGGCAGGGAACTCCACAGAGTTCATAGTGACTGTTGGTCTGGCAATCAGAGCCTGTTCAAGAAATGAGAAACAGGATACCATCAAAAGGAGGGAATTTTCCCATAGAGTAGTTTTGTGTTCCCTTTAGTTGTTGGAGGAGTGTATAAACTATTGTATGTAAAGAACAAAGTATTTAATAAGGCTATTTCATTCATTCAGATCTCGGATGTCTTCTGCTTGTGTTCCCTTTATTTTTTTGAGCAATATATTTTAGTCTAATCCACCATACTGGATTGCATTGGACAACACTGCATGGACCCAAAATAACTACATGGAATTGATGATGTCCATCCATCGTGTTCGAAGTGGACTTTGACATCTAACAGGTTGTGGGCTATCCATGATGTGCCCACAGGTGGCTGGTAAGGCCTATTTGGTTGGTAAGGCCTATACAGGTGTACTGGTATTCGGCTATACAAGTAGATCTATACAGTCTATACGGTAAGGCCTATACATGGAATTACATCTTAAGAGAGGTAGAAAACCTGATATCCTAGTTACATGGCAAAATACAATGATTCCCACTTGTGAGAATCAAAATTCAACAACTCTTTTTATCAATCCCAGGTTTGAAGCATTTAAAACTTTAGGTTGATTTACCTAAGAGCTGCTGACCTAAAGTAGAGAAGATCTCAGGATGTTCAGAACAGACATATCGAAGTTCAAAGTAGAAATGCATATTCTCCACCTACCACAGAAGTCTTCCGTTCTCCAAGATGAGATGGTGACATTGGCTCTCTGACAAGCTGCAACATATATCTGAACAGAGTGACATAGGATGCTACGGTCTCCAGAGGAGGCATACAGGTCAAAAATGCAGTCTGTGAAGAAGGACAGTGGATCAACTCGGAGATGGCAAGAAGCAAATGGCCCATCTGGATCCTGGATGATCCAGCACAGAGATTTAAAATGTGTGAGGTGTTCTCCTTGTTCCAACACTGGGATAAAGGCAACCGATTCGCCAGTATCAGCAAGATTCGTTTCTGATGTCCAGTTCAGGACAAACTCCAGTATGTCCTCTGTAGTTGAGCCATTTCTCATCATAAAGTCATCCTCCATGAGTTCATTGAAGTTCCCACATAGACCACAAGTCAGGCCCCGGTATTCAGGGGAAAGCGTAACGAATAGATTGTGACGCAGGTCATAACTCACTATTAAACCAAACTCTGTTTTTAAAACGGTATAAAAGCCATGTTGATAAATGGTGATTCCTAAAGCTTGGATTTCAACCGGAAGGTTTACTATCATTCCATCCATCTGCGTGAAAGACAAGAACAAAGACCATTTATTGCTACCAATAGAAAACTCAAGGAGCGCCACAAAAAAAAATTACATAAAATTATAACTGGGGCTTCTGAATCTAATTAATTGGTGTCAGTCCTCCAAAGCAGCTAAGAAAGAAGAGATCAGTGAAGAGAAGCAACGGATGTGCTGTGTCAGAAGCCTGATGTTTAACTGCATTGGAATTGCAATTCCTAGCATCTCCAAATGGCAAATCTAGACAGTGTACTAAAAAGCAGAGACATCACCCTTCCAAGAGAAGTGCGTATAGTCCAGGCTATGGTTTTCCCAGTTGCAATGTATGGCTGTGAAAGTTGGACCATAAGGAAGGCTGAGTGCCAAAGAATGGAGGCCCTTGAACTCTGGTGCTGGAGAAGACTCCTGCGAGTCCCTTGGACTGCAAGGCGATCAAACCGGTCAGTCTTAGAGGAGATCAACCCTGACTGCTCTTTAGAAGGCCAGATCCTGAAGATGAAACTCAAATACTTTGGCCACCTAATGAGAAGGAAGGACTCACTGGAGAAGAGCCTAATGCTGGAAATGATTGAGGGCAAAAGAAGAAGGGGACGGCAGAGAATGAGGTGGCTAGATGGAGTCACTGAAGCAGTCGGCATGAGCTTAAATGGACTCCAGAGGATGGTAGAGGACAGGAAGGCCTGTAGGAACATTGTCCATGGGGTTGTGATGGGTTGGACACGACTTCGCAACTAACAAGTATCTCAAAACTGTAGTCTCATATCATCTGAAGAGCATCAGGTTAAGGAAGATTGAGGTTATCCTCACCAGTCAAAATTTCCACTGGTTCAATTGACAAAGAACAAAGCAATCCCCTATAATAGATGTTGATCTTACTTTATTTACCTTGACTGTTCCTTGATGTTCTCTCTGCAGGTATACCTGAGTATTGTTCACAGATACAATAACTTCTGATAATACAGATAAAGGGCTGTTGAGCAGCTTCTCATTCTTCACCTCAACCCTGAAAGATGGTAAAAACTTGGACGTTGGGCACAGTTCCACCAAGACGTACATGGAGATACCTTGGAAGTTATACTGCTGACCATCAAAGGTGGTATAGTGGAGAAATTTAGAAACTCGACAGATGCCATCTGGCAATGCGTGGCAGCCAAATACTCCCTTCCAAGTGTCACAGAATTGGTCAGGACCACAGAAGGAGCCATCAGCTTCAATGGCAGAGATGGAGCCATCACAGCGGTATTTTTTTTTACAATTTTCACCTTCCAGGAAGAACGTTTCCTCTTTCAAGTAATACCGTCCGTTGTAGCTGCAGCCACACTGCTCCCACGGCACACAGTCAGTGCCACTCAGCACAAAGCCTGCTTCACACTGGCATCCTTCTATGCACATGCTCTGGAAGCAGTTCGGAGGTCCAGCTGGTTGGGTGCAAGAGGCAGGGCAGGGAGAGCTACAAAGCTCATAATAACTATTTGGTGGGCAGGTCAACTCTGAAAGACATATGCATGCCGTTTAATCCAATCCCAAAGAAATGAGCCAGAAAATTCTTCATGCAAAAGAAAATAAGACAGATTTAATGCATATGGAGAGACCCTGGGGTCTTCCAAAGGTTGAATTCCAAATCCTGTCAGTATTAATTTACATGGTCTCTGATGAAAAGGGATGGGAACTGACATTGAACAATATCTAAAAGAATGCACTGAAAAAAAGAAAGGAAAGGAAAAACATGCAGATTAAAAATGTAAATGTGGAGCAATTTCTTCTTCTTCTGTGTTTGGATCAGGGGTGGGTTCTACTTACCTTTACTACCAGTTTGCAATGGCAGCCCTTGTGCTTCTGCGCATGCACAGATCGTCCATGATGATGTCCGGGCGGGTGGGTGGAGCATCCCGCTGCTTTTACTACTGGTTTGCAAGAACCAGACCGAACCGGGAGCAACCCACCACTTGTCTGGATCAAACTTTAGTTTGCCAGAATGAAGCCACCTTCTTGGCTTTGTCATTGGCCAAAAATAAGTCACTATCAAGTTCATGGTGTGGAGCAACTATCTGTCTAAGTGTGAGACGCGGTGGCGCAGTGGTTAGAGTGCAGTATTGCAGGCTACTTCTGCTGATCACCAGCTGCCAGCAGTTTGACAGTTCGAATCTCACCAGGCTCCAAATTGACTCAGCCTTCCATCCTTCCGAGGTCAATAAAATGAGAACCCAGATTGTTGGGGACAACATGCTGACTCTGTAAACTGCTTAGAGAGGGCTGTAAAGCACTATGAAGCAGTATATAAGTCTATTGCTAAGTATGCAGAGTGCCTAACAAGAAAACGAGAACAGCTGAAATTATATTCTGAAAATTCAGTTATATTCAACTCAATTATATTCACTTACCGCACTCCGCAATTTCCCTCCAAGGCTGAATGCTGATGCCACGAATCTGACATTGCCAAGCAAAGCTTTGGAGAGATTCACACAGGGTCTTATGCGCACCCTGAGTTGCGCAAAGGTCCATGACACAGTTTTCAATGTGGTTTTGAAAATTGGCAAAGTCACCACATTCTTTAAACGGCCCATCTCTATCGCTGATCATCCCACAGTGATTCTGAGAACTGAAGAGGGCTGGTTGAGTCTCATTGCAGGTGGCTGAAACTTCCACCACAGCACAGTAGGAAGGGGAGTCCATTTTCTTCCAGCTGTTGCCAAAAATGCCTCTATCGTGAACTACAGAGACATTGGGAGTCCTGAAGTCCTGATGATGGTTCTCGCTGAAATCTCCACCCAGCCCACAGAGGAAACCGGAATAAGTCTCAGGTACAGAAACGGACACATAGGAAAACCAGTCGTAGGAGATGGAGAGGCCAAAATCCATTTGAACAATGATGAACGATCCACTATAATAGGCGTGGAGCTTCCCAGAAGCCAGGATAACAGGCAGATTCATCAAGAGACCATTGACCTAAGACCAAAAGGTGATACTAGAAATCCTTCAGAACGAATGAATCGGCACTCCCCAATTTTTAATCCGTGAATGATTAATTTAAAGCAAAATGGTAAAGATTCCCTTGAGTGAAGCTCTACACAAAATGACCACACAGAAACATCGATGTGGTTTTCATAGGACAGGGATGGCGAACCTTTTCGGCACCTAGTGCTGAAACTGGAACGCGTGCATATGCATGCATGCGCATGTGCCAGGGCGCTGGAAACCCAAAGACCAGCTGGGTGGCGCGCATGCATGCGCTGGCCACCTGGTCTTTGGGGTTCTGGCGCTCTGGCACCCGTGAAGATCAGCTGGCCAGCACATATGCACATGCCAGAAACCTGAAGACCAGGTAGCTGCCACGCGCATGTACACCAGCCAGCTGGTTTTTGGGTTTCCAGCGCACACGAAGACCAGCTGGCTGGTGCACATATGCATGCCAGAAACCAGAAGAGCAGCTGGTGACGGCACACGTGCCCAAAGAGAGGGCTCTGTGTGTCACCTCTGGCACGTGTGCCATGGGTTCACCATCATGGTCATAGGAGAACACGGTTTGGCATTGCCTCATTCTGGGATTTATACCAAAAACTCAAGATAGGGCAATCTTGAGTTTATTTCTCACCGTTTCTTCTTTTTCGGGGCTAAACTCAGGATTTACTTATAGAGGTAGTCCTCGATGTATAGCCACAACTGAGCCCAAAATTTCTGTTGCTAAGTGAGACACTTGTTAAATGAGGTTTCCCCATTTTACAACCTTTCTTGTCACAGTTATTAAGTGACTCACTGCGGTTGTTAAGTTACTAACATGGCTCTTAAGTGTATCTGGCTACCCCATTGACTTTGTTTGCCAGAAGGTCACAAAATGGGTTCGCATGACCCTGGGAGACTCTAACCGTCATAAATATGAGTCAGTTGCCAAGCAACTGAAGTTTGATCACGTGACCATAGGGAGGCGGCAATGGTCGTAGGTGTGAAAAACGGTCATAAGTCACTTTTGACACTGCCGTTGTAACTTTGAATGGTCACTAAATGAAATAGCTATCGATAGCTATTTTCCTCTCTAGGCTCAGTTCAACGGTCCGCTTAGTCTGCCATCTGCTGCCACCTACTGAGCCTTTCTTGAATTGCATGCCTTGGACATTGGTTTTCCCACCAGAAATGCCCAATGATAAAATTCCTCACATATTGCCACTGAGCTGTGGTGGCGCAATGGTTAGAATGCAGTACTGCTGGCTAATTATGCTGATTGCCGACTGCCTGCAGTGTGGCAGTTCGATTCTCACCAGCTCAAGGTAGACTCAGTCTTCCATCCTTCGGAGGTGGATAAAATGAGAACCCAGATTGTTGGAGGCAATGTGCTGACTCTGTAAACCGCTTAGAGGGGGCTGTAAAAGGACTGTGAAGCGGTATATAAGTCTAACTGCTATTGCTATTGCTACCAGGAGGGCCCTTTCTTTAGTGTTTGCAGAGCACCCCTCTTACCTGCACTTTGCCTTCCTGTCCTTCTTTTACAGCGATGTGTTCCCCGTATATATCCAACGTCAGTTGCCTAGTCCAAGATGCTGCAAAGGAGTATTTGTGCCCATTTACTATGTGGATGGTGAAGGCAGGTAACTTGCCAGAAGGGCCACAATATTGGGTGAGGATGTACGTGCATGCTCCTTGAAAGCTAAAGGCCGCCCCACTGAACGTGATAACATGAAAGTAGCCATATACCCACATAGTGCCGTACGACACAGGATAACAGTCCCAAATACCGTCCACGGTTTTGCATATCTCCCGAGGCCCACAGGTAAGCTCCTGGCACTCCAGAGGGTGCCCAACTTGTTTGCAAGAACACTTTTTGCTGCAAGTGTCTGGCAGGACCATCTCTTCTCCCAGCTGATAGTCACGACCATTATGCTGACAGCCGCACTGTCCCAGGGGAATGCATGCGCCTTCATTCAGAACGTGCCCTTCCTGACAGGTGCATCCTGCGACACACGGATTGGGGCATCTGATGAGAGCTGTGTGGTTGGCACAAGTGAGGGGGCAGGCTGTGCCGCAGAAATCGTAATAAGCATTGGGTGGGCATTGGGTAATAGCTAAGAGAAGAAGAGAACAAACGGTTAAAATGAGACGCAGACATCATTCATGTTTGGGAAGGCAGGAAGGTTAAAAGAGGGCTCTGTAAATCTTTGGTGTGGAAAACCAAAGCATAAATTGGGGGGGGGGGTGTCCATCCATCTCTGCTCATTGTGGATATTTGTAAATAAATATATTCATAACTGGAACTATGCTTAAGAGAAAGCCCGCTGAACATTGATATTAATAAGACAATTCATAGTCACAGGTAGTCTTCAACTTATGACCACAACTGAGCCCAAAATTTCAAGTGAGACAGTTGTTAATTCAATTTTGCCCCATTTTACAACCCCTCTTGCCACAATTGTTAAGTGAATCACTGCAGATGTTAAGTTAATACTGTGTTTCCCTGAAAATAAGACCCTGTCTTATATTTTTTTGAATCCTGAAATAAGCGCTTGGTCTTATTGCCATGCACTCAAAAGCACGATTGGGCTTATTATCAGGGGATGTCTTATTTTGGGGGAAACAGGGTATCTATCTCTATCTTTCCTTCTTTCCTTCTTTTTCTTTCTTTCTTTCTATATCTTTTTCTTTCTTATTTCCTTCCTTCCTTCTTTTCTTTCTTTCTTTCTTCCTTTCTTTCTTTCTTGTCTATTATCTATTATCTATCTATCTTCTATCATCTATATCTATCCTTCTTTCTTTCTTTCTGTAACTTTTCCTTTCTTGTCTATTATCTATCTTTTATCATTTATCTTACTGTGTTTCCCCAAAAATAAGACCCTGTCTTATATTTTTTTGAACCCTGAAATAAGCGCTTGGCCTTATTTCAAAAGCACGATTGGGCTTATTATCAGGGGATTCTTATTTTGGGGGGAAACAGGATAACACAGTTGTTAAGTGAATCTGGCTTCCCCATTGACTTTGTTTGTCAGAAGATCACAAAATGGGATTGCATCCATGGTGGGTTGCTACCAGTTCGCCCTGGTTCGGGAAAACTGATAGCAGCGGTGGCGGGAGGCTCCGCCCACCCATCCGGACGTCATCAAATACGCTCTGTGCATGCGCACCCTGCAGAAGTGGTGTGCACATGAGCGAACAGATAGCAAAGGTAAGTGAAACCCATTCCTGGATTGCATGACCCTGAGTCACTGCAACCATCATAAATAAGATTCCGTTGCCAAGTGTCCGGATTTTGATTGCATGACCATGGGGATGCTGCAACGGTCATAAGTGTGAAAAAAATGCTCCTAGGTCGCTTTTTTCAGTGCTGTTATAACTTAAAACAGTCACTAAATGAATGATTTTAAGTTGAAGATTACCTATAATTCTTAGTAACCTCCAAAGGAAACACAAAATAGCCCAGCATTGCATTTCTGAAACTTTTCATATTTCAAAAAAAAAAGCACATTTTCACACCAGGTTATTTTGAGGGACCAAAAGGAAAAAGGCTCCTTGCTCACCACATCCCAGCTCTTCCCTCCAGCTGGGCACCTGCACCCCGAGAGTTTGGCACATCTCCTCATAGGTTTCTATAGTCGCGCAAAGCATGTCATGGCCTTGGCCGTACTGGCAAAGATCAAAAATGCAGGAATTGTAATATGGATCGGGCTCCTCATGCCAGTGGCACTCTGAGAAAGGCCCAGATTGATCTGTGAGGATTCCACACTTTTGTTCCAATTCTTGGGGATTTGTGCAGGGTGCAAGAGCACCTGTATCATTAGTGCATCTGAAAGGCAAGAAAAGCTCATTACATTATATACAGACATTATATTGAGCATTAATTGTATGGCATCTGCTCTTTCATAGATAACTAGCTAGTAACCAGGCATTGCCCAGGTATTTATAGACATTGAAGTCTTTGTCTGACAGGGAGCCATTGAGGGTGGCTTTCTTCCCCCTACTCCCATGCCCATCATCCCTGTCCTCTCCCTTCCCCCTTCCATGCTCTCCTCTTTCCCGCCCTGTCTACGATCCTGGCACTTTGCCCCAAATCCATCAGGTGCTTCCTCATTGCTCCACTGGAGGGCAAACATCACAACTGCCTTTCCAGAGGAAGCTGTGAAGGAACTGACATCACAAACAATTGCCGCTCTAGGACACCGCACTTGCTCTCCTTAATGGCCCAGGCGTTCCACAATTATGCTGGAACACACACACACACACACACACACACACACACTAGGGGTGTCTTACCCCCACAGTATTTGTTTCCAGTCAGTAAGTCATCTGTGTATCAAGTCTGGTTGAAATTGCTTAAGGCGTTTCAGAGTTATGCTGGAACATACATACATACAGCCTTTTTTATATAGATAGGTATCTTTTTTAAAAAATGCTTAAATCAGTACTTTTTCAAACTTGGCAAATTGTAGTTTAGTTTAGTTTATTGTCATTGCACCTTCTACAAGGAAATTAAATGTCATCTTCAGGGTACATTATACATAAAAAAATAAAACAAAACACATCCTTCACATTCTATACAATTGAATTGAAAACCCATGATACTGCATTAATATTGCACTATACAGTAGAATTCAATATAGTTACTGCTCTGGGATAGAAGCTGTTTTTCAGCCTATTTGTCCTTATTTTTATTGCCCTGTACCGTCTGCCAGATGGTAATAGTTCAAAAAAAAAAGGGGGTACCCAGGATGAGATGGATCTTTAAGAATGTTTTGAACTTCCTTAAGGCAGCGGGAGCTATAAAATTCTTCCAAAGAGATGCAGGGACTAAGTTCGTATGCCTCATATTATTTTTGTAAAAAATCATAAAATTGTTCTTTAAAATAAACATAAAGGTTAAAGAACTCAGTTATAAATCAACTTACTTTGGGGGACTGATGTCGGACATCCAAGCATTTCCAAATTCAGCATCATTTTTAGCTTTTTTCCCATCAGGTAAGACTTTGTCATCATCACGATAGCCATTGAAATTCCCACACATCCCACTCAGCTTCCCCCAATATTCAGGGCCCACACGAACAAATAAAGCATGGCGGCCATTGTACTGGACCTCCAAACTGGGATGGGTTCTTACGGTTACCATCTGGCGTCTTTTTGTGATGTTGGCTAAGTGCTCTAGTTTTGCTGGCAAAACAACTGGTCTCCCATCAACCTAAAAATATAGTGGAAATCCCAATTAGATATAAGTAATCAATTGTATGGGGTGGAGAAGAAGTGGCTGATGGCTTCAGCACAACATGAAGCCCACATGATCTCGCAAGATAAATGAGATTCCAAAGGATTGTCGCCATTGTTTTAATTGTCCTTGTTTGTATTTCCTAATCCTTCAGATCAGGATGTTCTTGGGAAAAACATAGGCTCCTATTCTATACTGTAATAGTTATGATCATTTGCAGACCAATTCATATGAATTTGAAGACACCGGGTGAGAATACACCCAGGGGACAGTCCAAAGTAGTGGGACACATTTAATTCTTCTAGTGACCTGGGAAAGAAACCCCCTGAAGTTGCTTTGAGCTCTCTTGAAGAAAAGATGAGATATAAGGACAATAATAGATTAATTAGGCATAATAATTAGAGGTCAAATTAGAATTAAAAACTGGATATATAGAACCAAATTTCACTTTTCCTGTATCTCAATATTATGAGAACATGCTGTTGTGGCTCCATTACCTGAGCCTGTGTTATCGGCAGGAGAGGACTCCGAGAGTGAAGGAGAGGAGTTGGCAAGGCCTCCCTCTCCAGACCCTCCTCTCTGGCAATGCCTTCAGTGTCCGCTGAAGGGCAAGAGATAGGGCCGGGGCCAAGCACGTCTATGCAGCCACAGGTGGACAGTGGTGAGGGTAATGAGTCTTGGCTGGATCCTCAGCAGCGTCGCAGAGATAAGCGCGCGCAACAGAAGAAAAGGCGTGCCAGAGATTAGGCTGAGTCACTGGACCACACCCCACAGGATTTAAAAGGGGGTGAGGTAGCCATTCAGACTCTGTGACAGACAAAACTAACTACTATCGAGTCACCTTGCATCTTTGGAAACAACATTATCGGCCTTGGATTTATTTTACGAAATGGACAATTCTTGACCGTGTGTATTTTGTTTATTGAGTAAAAGTTCTTGGCAAGCAGCTACTGGGTTGCTGCCAAGCATCTTATCGGAAGAATTGGTTGTCTGCCAGTTTATTTAACCCCTGGCTGTCTGTTTGTGTGCGTGTGTGGGACGGGGACAGAACACATGCTTTGAAAAGCTCAGAGTCAATCCCTAGTCAAGAATGTCTTGTTCTTGGGAAAACTACCCGTTCTAACATCACAGTGATGTTTTTCCAACATGGTGGACAAAGTCACTACAGTTGGTTAATTAATTTATTTGGGGGGGGTTGCATTGAAATTCTTGACTGATGCACAATCATAGCAGCTAAGAAGTGGGGAGACCTATATGTATACGGCATTGTATACTGCACGAGTCAAAAAGAGGGTTGTGAAAATATTTACAGACCCCTTCGCATCCTGGACATAAACTGTTTTAACTCCTACCCTCAAAACGATGCTATAGGGCCATCAGGGAGTGATGCACGGACTTCGGAGCCTCCAGAGGCTGACAGTAGAGAGGCAGAGGAACAGGAGGAGCCTGTTCCTAGTGCATGTATGAGAAGAGCTGCCAGAACGCAGAAGCATCTAAAGCAGAGAGGACAACTCGGGAGTAGGGCCAAGGAATGATTGGCCCCTCCCATAAGGCTTAAAAGACCAGCAACGGCTCTTGGCCTCTTTGCCGGAAAACAACCGTTGAGAGATTTGCTTCGTGTTTGGATGTATTTCTTTCTTGCCAGCGTCTTCTGTTCCTGAACTGTTGCCAAGAAAAGCCTTTGGCAGTTTGCCTAATTATCCCAAGGTCAGAGATAAACTGAAGGTGTTTTGAGAACTTTGCTTTCATTTAATTTGGAATAAACTGAGAATGAGTTAATTCCCAGCTGTTTTAAAAAAAATCTGTTTGTTTTTTGGAACTGTTTTGCATTTAATATTAACTACGTGGGCCTGGGTCATAACAACTATTTACTAAGTCTGCACTACTATTAATCTTCTCATCGTTCCTATCGCACATCTCCTCCCACTTATGACTGCATGACTGTAACTTTGTTGCTTGTAGCCTTACGATTTACGTTGAATGTTTCCTAGTATGATTTGATTGCTTAGTTGTACCCTATGACTATCATTAAGTGTTATACCTTATGATTCTTGACAAATGTATCTTTTCTTTTTATGTACACTGAGAGCATATGCACCAAAGGCAAATTCCTTGTGTGTCCAATCACACTTGGCCAATAAATAATTCTATTCTATTCTATTCTATTCTATTCTATTCTATTCTATTCTATTCTAAACTGCCAGATCTTATTTTACATTTCCAAACTAAACATTATTTCTTAAAACCTTTGCTACCATTCTCAACATCATCATCCCATATTTTCCAAAGGGCCATTGATTATATTGGTTTATTGTACATTTTTCCCCCTCCTCCTCCTTTTTTTTTTTTTTTTGGCATGGATCAAGATGTTGTCTTCACCTTCACATCTTTTCCTTGTTCCAGAACAACGTGAGAACTGAACTGTTTGAAGGTAAGCCAAATATCCACTCGGTAAATAAAAGATACTCGGGGATTCCGGAAATTCTTATTAGTAGCCACAACTCGGAAGGAGAAATCCAAGGAGGAGTTGGGTGTGTTTGAGATCTCATAAGCACAACTGCCCTGGAAATGGGCTATGGCTCCATCAAATGTGAAGTAGTGAGGGTCTCCAGAAACTGTGCAAGTGGTCAGCTGATTCTTACAGCCCAGCTTTCCATCCTGAATTGCACATTGCTGTCCGGGATTGCAACTGGCTGGGACGCAAAGAAAGGTCGACGAATTCTCACAGCTGCACCTTTTTGTGCAATCGGAAAGCCAGAAAAGGTCTCCAACCTGAGAAGTAAACCAGTAATTAATTAATCAAATATATATTGTACTAGATTTATTTCTAGTACTCTTTTTGGTATGTTGGACCTTAGAATGCTGCCCCTGTGTCACTGTGTATGAGAGTTCATGAGTGGGGTAGACATGACAACAGGTCAGCCATTGGGAACTGGTTGGAATAGGACATGGTAACAAGGTCAGCCAATGTATAGGCATAGCAACTAAGTCAGCCAATGGGAGCTGAAACAGCTTGGAGCCTGGGTGTGGCTTAGGTTATTCATTGGCAACCTTCAGTCTCAGAAGACTATGGTCTCGTGCTCTGGAAAGAGGTCCTAAAACAGCATCTGGTGTGACTAAAAAGGCCAATTCGAGAGTGGCAATCCCTTCCACACTGAGGGCAGATACATTCTGTCCAGGGGTGAAATGCTCCCGGTTCGAACCGGATCCCCCGATCCGGTAGCGATGGCAGCGGATGGTTCAGAGAACCGGTAGCAAAAATCCCTGCCCTCCCCCCCATGCCCAGCTGAGCCGCACGATCATCAGAGGCCTTTTGTTTTTTACTTTTAAAAGCATTTTTTCTAAAACCTCTTCAGCCGAAAAAATGCTTTTAAAAGTAAAAAAAAAAAAAGCCTCTGATGATCGTGCGGCTCAACTGGGATCATCAGAGCCTTTTAAAAGCATTTTTTCTACAACCTCTTCAGCCGAAGAGGTTATTTAAAAAATGCTTTTAAAAGGCTCTGACGATCCCAGCTGAGTTGCCTGATCGTCAGAGGCTTTTTTTTCTTTTAAAAGCCAAAAAAAAAAATGCTTTTTAAAAAAACTTTTAAAAGCATTTGTAGAAAAAATGCTTTTAAAAGTTTTTTAAAAATCCTCTGATGATCGCATGGCTCAACTGGGCATGGGGGTAGGCAGGGATTTCTGCTACCGGTTCTCTGAACCACCTACCGCCATCTCTACCAGATTGGGCGATCCGGTCCGAACCGGGAGCATTTCACCCCTGGTAGTATCTGGGTCTCCTAACCTTCCCCATTTTACCACACTGACCTTTGGTTCAAAGGGAGAACTTGACTCACATTGTAATAACGGCCGTTGTGTTCGCAACCACACTGTTCGTGCCGAATGCACTTGTTCCCACTCCATAAGTATCCTGCATCACAGACACATCCTTCAGCGCACAGGGGGTTGCAGAGATGCGTAAGTGTGGCCCCAGCACAAAAACCTTGGCAGGGCAGCTGGCAGAGTTCATAATGGCTGTTGGCTGGGCAATCTGGATCTTTAAAGAGAGAAGTGGGGATAGTGGGGAAAGGAATCAGTAACTTTGCTGGCGATCCTATCCATGAGAAGAAAGTCTTTCAAAACCAAATAGCCTGATGCTATTTGATGCATTTTTGTGGGTTTTATTTTAAACAACAATAATGTGGCCTTTATTTAGCTTTTCCTTCGCATACGGAAAAAAAGAAGCGTATTCCCACCACTACCCGTAAATCTAATGATGTTCTTTTCTAGAAAATATTCCAAATAACTCATGTTAAATATGTAAAAATGACCAAGGTTACAGCAAAATGTTATAATATTTCCAAGTCTGCTCGGGAGGAAGTTTTTTTTCTAGAATATTCCCTTCATCCAATCAAACCAGTCATTTTCTTCCCTGGGATATCATAAAAGAAGGCTTCAAATGGGAGCCTTCAAAAATGCCAGCACCCCACGCCAAAGCTCTGGATTTGATTTCCAAAGCTCCAAGGTAAATTGCTGATTACCATATTTTTCAGAGCATAAGACACTCTGGACTATAAGACTCAGCTAACTTTTTTGGGGAGGAAAACAAGAAAAAAAAACCTGCCTCTGCCTCCCAGCAATTTTCCTCCAAAGAGCAAACAGCCTGTGTTAGTTTCATTTTCATTTTCAGACGGATTAGCACAAGAAAAAAAAATCTACCTCCCAGCAATTTGCCTCCTTGCAGCAAACAGCAGAGGCCCACGCATCAATAGGCAATGGCAATCCCTGCAGCCTGAAACAGCTGAAGGTCAGGAGGCTGATCCAGCTGACAATCAGCTGCTTGTGCTAATCAGGCTGTGCTGAAGCTGAAACGGGCTGTTTGCTATTTGCTGCAAGGAGGTAAATTGCTGGAAGGTAGAAGTCAAAGTGGGGGGGCAGTGGGGGGGCGTGACTCCATTCGGTGTATAAGACGCACGCAAATTTTCACCTTCTTTTTTTGGGTGGGGGGAGTGCGTTTTATACTCTGAAAAATACGGTAACTGTATTGTTTTTAACATATTTTACTTTATTTAATCCATTTTATGGGTTCACACATTATCTTGAACCATAAACAAATGATACAGGCTGGCTTCACATAACACACTAACAAACTAGCCAACATTTGCAGTAACCAAACTTAGCATGCTATGGGAATGCATTGGCTTGACTTTTCTTTAACCTTAAAGTTAGGTAAATGTATTGCATGCGCACACCTATTCATAAACCAAATATTAAATAATGTCCTAGAAGTGTTCATAAAATATATTGGACTATGCTAATTGACTCACCACAAAACGATCCGATTCTCCAAGGCCTGAGAGTAACATTGGCTCTCTGGCAGGCTGCTACATAGGTCTGAATGGAAAGGCATAAGATGCTCGGCTCCCCAGCTGATGCATAAACATCCAAAATGCAATTTGTTAAATAAGGTTCAGGATTGACCAGAGAATGGCAAGAAGCAAATGGCCCATCGGCATTCTGGATGATCCAGCACATGGATTTAGACTGGATGAGATGTTCCTTAACAAATCTAGGAGGCCCGAAGCGTCCTGTGATTGCTGATGAGCTCCAGAAGCTGGCAAGATCCAAGGGGTGTTTTGCTATGGATCTGATTTGCATGCTAGAATCGCCGTCATTGGCTCTCTTGAAATTCCCACACATCCCACATACTTGCCCTTGGTATTTAGAGGAAAGGGTAACAAAGAGGCTGTGTGCTAGGTCATAGCTGACGGTTAAACCAAAGTCAGTTGTTAAAACAACATAAAATCCATGTTGATAAATGGCAATCCCCTGGCTTTTCATATGGACAGGAAGGTGCAGAGCTATACCATTGATCTATATGAAGAGGGGGAAAAAATAGATGGCACAGTGATTAGAATGCAGTATTTGCAAGATAACTCTACCCACTGTCAGGAGTTCGATCCTGACCGACTCAAGGTTGACTCAACCTTCCGGGGTTGATAAAATGAGGACCCAGATCATAGGGGACCACATTGGGTAAACCGCTTAGTAGACTGCAGTACTGCAGGCTACTTCTGCTGACTGACTGCAATTTGGCAGTTCGAGTCTCACCGGCTCAAAGTTGATTCAGCCTTCCATCCTTCCGAGGTGGGTAAAATGGGGACCCAGATTGTTGGGGGCAATAGGCTGACTCTGTAAACTTACTCGGAATACAACAAGAAATGCAAAACATGCTTGAAACCACCCCCATCCTTTCAGGTTGCAACTAGGTAAAATTGTCCTTACCAAGGCCCTCCCGTGATGTCCTCTCTGCAGATATATCTGAGTGGTATTCACTAGAACCAGCACCATTGACATCTCAGGAAAAAGCCTCCTAGGCATCTTCTCGTTCTTCACTTCAACTCTGAAAGAGGGCAAAAGCTTGGACATTGGGCACAGTTCCACCAAGACGTACATAGAGGTGCCTTGGAAGCTGTACGGTTGTCCATCAAAGGTGGTGTAGTGGAGAAATCCAGAAATTTGACAGATGCCATCTGCCAATATGTGGCAACCATACACTCCCTTCTGAGTGCCACAGAATTGGCCAGGACCACAGAAGGAACTATCAGCTTCAATGGCAGAGATGGAGCCATTGCAGCGATATTTCTTTTTGCAGTTTTCGCCTTCCAGGAAGAACGTTTCCCCTTTCAGGTAATACCGTCCGTTGTAGCTGCAGCCACACTGCTCCCACGGAACACAGCCGGTGCCACTCAGCACAAACCCTGCTTCACACTGGCATCCTTCTACACACATCCTCTGGAAGCAGTTCGGAGGTCCCGCTGGTTGGACGCAAGAAGCAGGGCAGGGAGAGCCACAAAATATATAATGGCTGTTCTCCGGGCAAGTTAACTCTAAACGCAAAAGATTGAATGATTTGTTTTAATACCAAAGACAGATTTTGGAATTAATATAATGGGGACAAAGGAGTAGTAATGAAAATTATTTCTGCAAGATCCAATCTGAGGTCAGTCACTGAGACCAGAGGTTTGGTCTTCCAAGCTTTCGAACTTGTGCCGGAGCCCATCTTCCGGGAACTTCTCTCTACTGGAATATGTGCTTTGGGCTATACTATGCATTGTATTGATATGGTGCCTTCCTATTGGTTGATTGGTATGTTTTCAGACCCGAGTTTTCAGACCCGAATAGCTTGGAAGACTAAACCGCTGGTCCTGGTGACTGACCCAATGTCAGCATGCCGAGTAATGCATCCGCCAAAAGCAGAACTCTGAAGTAGGTAGATTCCTCAAAGAACATGTTTCTTGGATACATCATATCAGCACAGCCGGTGAAAACCAACTCTAAAAGTTCCCATGGTTTTTCCCTAATTCAAAAAGTAAAACTTCCCCCTCCCAGATGTCACCAGTCACGTTGTCCAATGAAAGTAGCTGGCCGGCTGCTTGGTCACTCCTCTCCTCCTTCAACTACCACCTGTTGAGATGACCTTGGTTCCCACAAGAAAATTTTTTGTTTTGACTGTTAACCAGTTTCTCTACTTCCCCCACTCCCTTTCCCATCTCAGGGTTCGTGGCAACTCTGAGGCAGCAAAAGATGGCTTCAGAATTGACACCCAGATTGGATCTTGCAACATTATCCTGGGACACATATATCTGCTTTCATCCATGAAAAATGTTTTTATTTAAAACACACATTTATGTGACATTGTTACATACTTCCTAGTGTTTTACTTGTTCATTCTCCAGTGCAGATTGACAGGAGTGAAGGTCTGATTTGCACACAAACAGATATATTCATTCATTCATTCATTCATTCATTCATTCTTTAAAAACTATTTTACAGAAAGGGAAACAAGATTCTCAGATAGTGGACTGCCATGTCTAAGAGACACCATATTTTATCAGCAAACCTGCACAAATGTTCATTTCTGTTTTTAAAGCCAGTCTTTCTATTGAATATCACTTACCACACCCAGTGATCTTTCCCCATGGCTGAATCTTGATGTGCTTTGCTTGACATCTCTGGGCATACGTAGATAGTACTTCACACAGAATCTTGCGGCTGCCCCGTGTTGTGCATAGGATCTTCACACAATGCTCTGCGTAATGCTGAGCCTCCATTTGGTCATGACAGTCTTGAAATGGCCCATTCATATCACGAATGAGTCCACAATAAGCCAGAGATCTGTATTGGGCCAATTCCATTTCATTGCAATTTAGTAAGGGCCCAACAGCTGCGCAGTGGAATGGGGAGCCAGAATCTTTCCAGCTGTTGCCAAAAGTCTCTGGATCCTGAACCACCGAACCCCTGGGAGTCCTGAAGTCATTGTGGCGATTCTGGTTGAAATCTCCACCAAGGCCACAGAGAGATCCAGAGTAAATTTCAGGAACTGAAACTGACACGCGGTAAGACCAATCATAGGAAACAGAGAGGCCCGTGTCGGTCTCAATAGTGAGGAAAGTGGTAGTAGAATAGGCAGAGAGTTTTCCCATTGCAAGGGTGATGGGAAGATTCATTAGAAGGCCATTCACCTACGACAAAGCCAGGGGAACAATGTCCTTGTCAAATTCATAGATAGATTCGTTTAATTAGTCTATACCAGGGGTGTCAAACTTGATTTCATTGAGGGCCGCATCAGGGTTGTGTTTGACCTCGGGAGGCTGGGGTGGGCGTGGCCAGCTCGATGTCACTCATGTCAGGGTTGTCTGTGGCAGCCCGAGTGCTCTGCCAGCGAAAATGGGCTCCCGAGCTCCATTTTCGACTGCGACGGCCTCCTGCAACCCTCTGCCAGCGAAAACGGAGTTTGGCTGCGTGCGGCCTTCCCGAGCTCTGTTTTCGCTGGCAGAGGCGCTGCAGAATGAAATTTCCAATGAAAACTAGTTAGAATTTACAATGCTCTTACCTTGATTAAGCCATACTGCCCTTTTGCCACAATTATTTTCTCCCCGTAGATTTCAAGTTCCAACTGCTTTATCCAGGATACCAAGATAGAGTCCTTATGCATATTTAATACTTCAATGTTGAAGCTCGGAAGCTTTCCTGGAGGGCCACAGTATGAAACAAGGGTGTATTTGCAGGCCCCTTGAAAACTATAAGAAACACCATCAAAAGTGATATAGTTTGAAGGGCCATATAGATGCATCAGGCCAAATGTCATTGGGTAACAACCCCGTACATCATCCACAACTCTGCATATTTCCTGAGCTTTGCAGGCGTGCTCTTGACATTCCATTGGGTGAGCAGCTTGCGCACAGATGCATCTTTGGTTACAAGTGTCCCCCAGGATGACTTGTTCTCCCAGCTGGTAATAGCGGCCATTCAGCGTGCAGCCACAGAGTTTCAGAGGTATGCAGACGCCGGCATTCAGAACATAGCCTTCCCTGCAGACGCAGCCTGAGATGCAAGGTTTTTTGCAAAGAGCGGGGGCCTGGAGATTGGTACACGTGGCAGGACAAGCTGAGCCACAAAAGTCGTAGTACTTGTTAACTGGACAGGTGATGCCTGAAAAGAAAAAGATCAAATGGGGTTTGGGAACTCATCAGCCATCAGGCAAAACAATGCACCCAAAATATGTTTGTAACATACATGGGGTAGAATCTCCAGTTAGACTGGAAGGAGGTGTTAAGTGGGGGTTGAGTTTAGAATCTTTTCACTGGAGAAAGTGGCACAGTGACTTTACCCCAGAATCCCTGAAGTCTTATCTGACCGTTCCCAGGGGAATATAGTCAGCCTGGTGAGATTCTTGTAATATAGGTGACTAACAATAAAGTTTCTGGCTGAGACTAGTTCAACGATAAAGTATATTCAAACTTTATTCATATAAAGTTTCTGGTTGAGACTAGTTCAAGTTGCTTATGCCTGACAATAAATAAACCAAGTGAGGTAGTACAAACTTGATAATTATTTGTATGATAATTTGATTATCGTACAGTATATCAACTGATCAAATATGGTCATTTGCCTTCATTCATGATAATTATCATTTCCAAGGGCAGATGTTTATACACAGGTGTCGCACCTTGACTTTCAAATGCATCTACAGACATTTTCCTGATGGGAACCACCCTTCTTATTTTGCTTACTGCATCCTGTTGCCTTCCGCCAGTCCATCACCTTCACCCCAGTAATGGTGCACATTTCATCATAAGTTTCAATGGCCATACAGAACATGCGGTTGCCCAATCCGTACTGGCATAAATCATAGACACAGGATTCATAATACAAGTCTGGGTTATTGAGCCAGTGACATTCAGAGAAAGGTCCTGAACTGTTCATTAAGATCGCGCACATTTGTTTGTACTTGTGTTGATTTAGGCAAGGAACAAGGTCTTTGGTGTTGTTCTTACAGCTGAAAAAGACAGACAAAGAACAGAGTTACAAAGGCATAGGTCAGAGTTCCAAGTAATAAATCCATAGCAAGCAAAACTCCGAGGCAGGTAGATTCCTCAAAGAATACTTTTATTGGAATTATCATATTGGCACATATCTGATGAAAACCGACTCTGAAGCTTCCCGCGGTTTTCACCTAATTAGAAGTAAAAGTTTTTCTACTTTCTCAAAACAATCAGTCACATGGTCCAATCACGGTGCGGACTGGCAATTGGGTGGCATCACTCCGGCTTCCTCCAACCAGGTGTGAGAATGTC